CGCCTTCAATGCATAGCTACTCGATTTCCGAACAAACTGAACATGCTTTCACCTCTAAGGCTTGGTTGTATGTTCCACTTTCCCGTTTTCCGGCGATCGAAACTGTAGCAGCCGGAACCAATGTGCCTATGGCATACGATTTATGGCTGCTAAATTGAATTGAACTGATTGACGTTGTTCTTTGCGGTAGCTTTCAGGCTTCCAAGTCAGAAGTCAGACATGTCATGTGGACCAGCGGCTTAGAAGCCTGAAAAAGTTCCAAAAACGATTATTCAGTTTCCATTCCGAGTGCATGTCAGAACACCATACTGATACTCTTTTGCATGTCACTTTGAAATTCGGTCGCGAAGTTGCTCAGTAAAGTTACCCTATGTTTTGGAGTAGCTGATGTGGAACCGATGGACGTGGCAATGAAATCTTGAGAGATTTAATTTTTGAACCATCCGGTCATCATGATCTTTCTTCATGCTCTTTTCTCCAGCCCGAACTCCGAGGATACTTCACATGAAAAAAAAACAGAAGAGGGGAAGCTGTTAGCCGCCAAGTCATCTATTAGATGACACCAAATAAACAGACTACTGGACAGGGAAGTAAACTTTCCATATACACCTTGTTTTTGAAAACTGAACACCCTCACGCGTCTTCTTGAACTTTCGGAAATATTCATTGACTAGCACGCAATTGCAAACGAAAGCTGCACAGCAGTTCCACAAGTTCCGTAATAAACCCCACCTTCCATTGGACGCGAGGCGAAATTACGAGAAAACGGCATACTACTCGCGTGCCTCGTCAGTAGTATCCACCGTTACGCCAGTAGAACCATGGAGTTCACAATAATCGTTCAAGACATTACTGCTCAATCCACGCTCCACATGGGTAGTGAATTCTTCTGAATCAACCTATGCCACTTAACCGTTAGCTATCAATCACGCTGGTTCTATATTATATCTCAATTATATTATATATTATATCTCAACACTAGTGTAGGTTCTTCATGGCCTTGATGAGTAGCCAAGTTTAGCCTTCAAGGCCGTATTTGTGCCAATGTGAAGCGATCAACCAGTAAAATGGTCAGTTCTCAAAAGCAACCACTTCTTAAACCCCACCTTCCATTGGACGCGAGGCGAAATTACGAGAAAACGGCATACTACTCGCGTGCCTCGTCAGTAGTATCCACCGTTACGCCAGTAGAACCATGGAGTTCACAATAATCGTTCAAGACATTACTGCTCAATCCACGCTCCACATGGGTAGTGAATTCTTCTGAATCAACCTATGCCACTTAACCGTTAGCTATCAATCACGCTGGTTCTATATTATATCTCAATTATATTATATATTATATCTCAACACTAGTGTAGGTTCTTCATGGCCTTGATGAGTAGCCAAGTTTAGCCTTCAAGGCCGTATTTGTGCCAATGTGAAGCGATCAACCAGTAAAATGGTCAGTTCTCAAAAGCAACCACTTCTGGTTGGTTCCCTCAGGTTGAAAAAGAAGAAAATTCTGATTGTAAAACGGAAAGGAAATAGCAATAAGTCATCCGCACACGCACTTTTATCAGATCTAAGAAAGGGTAAAACCTGTCAACAAGAGACCTCATTGTGGAATGTCTCCGAACCACCGCGAGCTTGTCATTGAAAGTCTCATAAGCAATAAATCAATCCTGCTAACTCGGACAAGGGAAGTTAAACACGTGACCGAAAGCCCCTGTCAAAGAGACATCGAGTCGTTAAGCGGCGGGGTGTTTTTTTCATGTAGCCTCTCTTGTTGCTTATTCCGACCGGCGAACTTGTAGATGAATACGTTCAGGTTGTGACCAGGTAGGTTCTGATCACATCGCCCACCGATCCAATCAGGCTGGCATTTTCAGGTAGCCAAGTCAACTTCACTGAGGTACGAAATACAGGCTATGAAAGTCTGCGAGATTTTTGCTTTGAGGAGTTAATCTGGAGTTTGCGGGCGAAAGCTACGTGTTTTCTCACCGACTGTTTTTCATCAGGGTATCAGAAATGCGGAAAAAGCAGCCTACATGAAATCCTTCGTCGCGGTATTGACAGAGTGTAATAGCCTCGGCAAACCACCAAGCAAGCTGACAGATGAATGTCAACGCTTTGAAAGGTATGTGCCCTTGACACACCCTTCATCAGTTTGCCGAAAACTCTTCGGCTTCGCCATTCTTGGGGCTCATCAGGTGGGTCTCAACCTCATCCTCTAATTGAACCCAAATTGCATACAACTCGTAAACTACACCCGTTTGCTCAGTGATTTGGTTTTGACGGGAGACTCAACTGAATCCCAGTTGAATTTCTAGGCTATGGTGTTGTGCCACAACTAAATGTGCTCCACAAGGCTGCTTCATCGACACCATGATGCCGTTCTCCCAGCCTTATTTCCTTTGTGGATCTTGGTCTATTTTTGCCATTTGATTGTTTTTCAAAATCCACGAGATGGCAGCCAATCTCTTCCAAATTTTAGTTACAAGTGCGAAATGTACTGAATTTCTGGAGGCTGCTGTTGAAATTGAGGTGACGAAGTCTATCGTTATCTGACCAGAGCGTCGACAAATACGAACAATGTTCCTGATCAGTTGTAGTGGAGGCGGACGGTCATGACCAACACCTTCATAACTGACCCACTTGTACAAAGTTGTCCACCGTCCGACTGTATTCTGCAAGAAAAATATATACGGAATAGTCGAAAGGAAGAGAGGTAACTTGTCAACTGAACTACCGACTCAGAGTTGACATGCGCAACCTGTCTGTAACAATAAATTGGTATTACTTTACTGGAGGCATTCCTCCTTTTGCAGTGGTGCACCGAGAGGGGGTAATCTCACAATGGAAATTGCAAGTAGTGTTGGCCAAGGTGGACTGCATGCCGGTGAGTTAGTTGGTTGAAACGATTAATTTGTCTTCTTCTGTAGTGCAGGAACTTGCTCGCTTGGCTGATGCAAACTTTTACTCATATCATCGCGGTCTGAATAGTACTCCTCCAGTACTGACGCATCTATTCCGGTTAGTTCGTGTCAAAGTGCGTAAGGTTGGAATTGAGCAGCAGTGAATATCCTGGGTCATATCAGCAGCTGAGCTGTGGTCAGTCAACTTTTGAGGCCAGTTGTGTCACATGATGTATCATGTCTGACGTGAGAACTTTTGCGCCATCTGTGTGGCTTGTCCGGATAATGACTCAATAACTATCTTGGTATAAACTGACTAGCACCCTCAGTGTAGCTCTCCGACAACACCAGATTGGTATAAAACGTAGAAATAAGCATTAGATCAATAGGTTTCCGTGCAGTAGGTTTATAAAAAGTGCTTACAGAATTCCGGTCGATGGTCGTGACGGCTATTTAAACTTTTGTTTGCCAGACAATGAGTCAAGCTAAACCCAGAAACCTTACTTGCTGTTTTGAGACCTATTGTGGGGGATAATCAAACGAATTCCGAGTATCTCAAACTTGATCTCTACAAGCTTCTAACTCCGGATCACCTGACTGAGTATATACCAAGAGAGCATCAACCCTGAACTTCAATCCAGTCTCAGGTGAACGTTTGGGTAGGCATTAAGATGAACCCTCACACAAGCATTCACGGACTACAGGACAACATGAAAAGCCTGGTTCCACAGAGCTTTTTTCCTATACCAGTGAAGGCGTCCGACAAGAATCCACAACACGAAAAGCCTGGTTCCACAGAGCTTTTGTCCTATACCAGTGAAGGCGTCCGATATTCCTGAACAGCGCGTTTCATTAGAGCCTATGACGCTCTAGTATCATGAAAATCAGATGTTTGGAAGCTGCGATTCGACTAGTTACTCTCACAATATGGACCTAAAAGCGAGTACAAAAGTTTGCACGGCCTCGCGCTACTTAAAGGGAACTTTTTGACATTGTTCCAGGCTGTCCGATCGGTGTTTAGTGAACACCGATCAAGATCGACCGTGCTTCTATGAGTTGCCTGAACAATGATCATAGTGGGTCGTACTTCCATGGCGTGCCTGAACACTCATCAGATTTTGCTGAGTTGATTGAGTGATTATTGACCGGCCTGCATGCTCGCCAGATCCCCTATTGATTGGTTCCGGGCATCCTGGAGTTATTTTGAAGAATCTGACCTTACTGACAAAAACTTATTTCTTTTCCGCCCTCATGCCTACATTTCTGCCTGATTATCCCAGCTAAATTAAAAACCGTGTTCTCACTGCTGGAGTTCTGGTGGTCACTTTGTTCCATATACTGGTTGATCTAACCTAATTTTCCTTCCCAACATGGGCTACAAATCGAAATAAAACATTCACTTGACGTGGGGTACTCTTTTTTCTCATGTGCGGATGAGCAGAGCTCTTTTTTAGAAAAAAACAGTCCATTTAAGACATGATGATTTCTGCCAAAACTATGGACCAACGCATCTTTGTACACAACAGACTAAAACTCACTCCTGATAGTTCGCGCAGCGGCGTATCTCTAATGCTCTGTTCTTGTCGCATGCGCTCGATTCCATTCGTTCACCAACACTGATGCGGCCTACGCATATCCGACATTCTTTTCTCTCTTCCGTTTAATAAACCCACCTTAGAACAAGAGAGACCTTCGTTGTATTCTCCAACTTCACGGCTCCGCCGTACTTTCTACTTTTGTTCGGCTGTTCTTTAGACGACTGGATTTAGACTGCGGTGCAGCCGTGTGGATTTTTAGCTGTCCCTTCTACCGGACCTTTATCTCGCACTTGTCTACCGCTGTTCTATCACAAAAATTCACCCTGTTCGGTAATAACTTGTTTCTCCCCGAGCTAATTACCACACAAAGTGAGACATAACTCGAGAACTAGTCATTTTATTTGTATCCATATTTTGTCGGGCAAAAAAGGACAAAGCAAGGAAACACGGGAAAAAGAGACTTCAGTTTCGATCGATAGCTTGAGAATAAGTGCTAGATGAACAGAATACAAGTGCGTCACACAACGATTTGAGCAATTTGGGTACACAGTTGCAATCCTTGCTTTTAGAAGCATTTGCGGTGCACGATACCTGGACCAGCTCGTCGTATTTCCTGTTTCGAGATCCACATCTGTTGGAACGTGGACAACGAAGCCAAGATCGAACCACCAATCCAAACCGAGTATTTACGCTCCGGTGGGGCAACGATCTTGATCTTCATCGTACTCGGAGCCAACGCAGTGATCTCCTTCTGCATACGATCCGCAATACCAGGGAACATGGTCGTACCACCAGACAGCACGGTGTTCGCGTACAAATCCTTGCGGATATCCACATCGCACTTCATGATTGAATTGAAACTGGTCTCGTGGATACCAGAAGACTCCATACCCAAGAAGCTCGGTTGGAACAGAGCCTCGGGACAACGGAATCGTTCGTTACCAATCGTGATCACCTGACCATCAGGCAGTTCGTAGCTTTTTTCAAGTGAGGAGCTTGACGCAGCAGTGGCCATTTCTTGCTCGAAATCCAGAGCGACATAACACAGTTTCTCCTTAATGTCGCGCACAATTTCTCGTTCTGCGGTTGTTGTGAAGCTGTAGCCACGCTCGGTCAGGATCTTCATCAGGTAGTCAGTCAGATCACGTCCAGCCAGGTCAAGACGAAGAATAGCGTGCGGTAAGGCATATCCTTCATAAACTGGCACAGTATGACTTACGCCATCGCCAGAGTCCAGCACAACACCAGTGGTACGGCCAGAGGCGTACAGAGACAGCACGGCCTGAATACCTACGTACATGGCTGGGGTGTTGAAGGTCTCAAACATGATCTGGGTCATCTTCTCTCGATTGGCCTTCGGATTCAGTGGAGCTTCAGTCAAAAGAGTGGGGTGTTCCTCGGGCGCGACCCGCAACTCATTGTAGAAAGTGTGATGCCAGATCTTCTCCATATCATCCCAATTGGTCACAATGCCATGTTCGATTGGGTATTTGAGAGTGAGGATACCTCGTTTGGATTGAGCTTCGTCACCTACATAGCTGTCCTTTTGACCCATACCAACCATTACACCCTAAAATAGGTAGAGCGAAACAGAGTTTAGCTTAGTTTGGTTTAGTTTAGTCCCATCATTCACGAAGAGGGGGTATCAGTTACGCAATGGGCCATGAGGTTTTCGTGATACGACTTACTTGGTGACGAGGTCGACCAACAATGGACGGGAACACAGCGCGCGGCGCATCATCACCGGCAAAACCGGCTTTGCACATTCCCGAACCGTTGTCGCAAACGAGCTGTTGAATTTCTTCATCCGCCATCGCTGTTGGTCAACTGGTAGAAGTTTGAGAGTAGGAAACCTGAAAAAAGCATCGTTCCGTTAAGTCTTTATATTTGCTCGGTCGACTTACCATATATGGACATGTATCATTAACATGTATTGTTCTAGCGAGGTAACCAATCACCAAAAAGTGTGCATGCATGTGGTTTCGGTCGCCTATGAGTTTGTTTTCGCACCAAGGATCCCATTGGTCTACTGGGTACGGTTGGTAATGGCTAACACGTGACTAAACTAACATTTTGTGGGAAAAGACAACGGGAGATCATGCCTGAAAAGAAAAATAGGGGGAAAAAACGGAAAACCTTGCTTTCATCACAAAAAGACTACCCTAAGACGGGCAATGCGTTTTGGACCGAGCCAGATTTCGCGGTGTTCTCCGGTACACGACAGACGCGCTCCAGAATGTTTACTTTAAACAAAGGTCAGTCCCATAAAACAGAGTACATCGTTCTATGCATAGTTAGACAAACGAAAATCATTTCGCTCCTCAATGTCAAATAATCAATCATCCACAAAATACAGGCATTTCTGTATGTAGTCTTGACAGGATGTTGCCGGTCTTTTCTGAGGGGATTGGCATTGCCCGATCGACGGTCACACATCAGTGACACCTGAGCTTGTCTGTCGTACCAGCATAAATGTCTCGGCCTTCCTTTAGAGTACTGAATTAGTGCGGGGGGTGTGTCGCATAGAAGGACAACAAACTCAATTCCGGAGGAACGAAAAACTGTCAGACTATAGTCTCATCGTCGGCACGTGTCTTCATGATATATATCGTAGCTGACTAACAAATGACTAATTCTACATACGTGTGTTTCCGTGTCACAATAGCCGCCAAACAGAAAGCGCCGTTCCCCCTGGTTAAACTAATTCAAACATGGAAAGGTTGAAATCGAAAAGAAAAGCGAATTTACTACGCTTCACCCTGCCCTCTTTGCAACCAAATTTCGTCGAGTCAACATTTGAACATCATTATTTTGGACGAGACCGTAAAAAGGATCGAAGCTGCACTTCGTGCTTTACTGGACCTTTGAAATTTGTCCTCTTGTGTCGCAGATGACAGTACAAACAGCTGATCCTACTCAGTATCAGTTAGGCGGTCCTAGGAAGGGAAAAGGTACAATAAGCCTCCGTAGAGAAACTCCTCAAAGGGAAGACCCCTCCTGTGAGAAGTCTAGACTAGTGTTCCACAGTATACATCAACAAAACTGGAATTCTTTTGAAATTGAACGCTCATTCAGGACAGGACAGATACCAGCTTCCCGATATTAGTCTGGAACTCCGGGAGCAATGTGCCGGGAATGCCAAAATGATTTGTCGTGCACGGTGAGAAGGGCACAGCCTTTGAACTCCTTAATAGGTCTTCGCAAAGTTAGTTTAGGGCGATCTGGTCTTGAAAATGAGCCGAGTTAGGGAGTTCCGAGCGAATCGAGCAAGTTTCCATGACGTACCCCCTGAGAAGTAGATCAGTGGAATACGAAACTCCGTCTTCTTTGATTTTGTCCCGTATCGAGTTGATATCTTCAGGTACATCTGAGAGCTAGGATTATCACTGGTTCTCACTGAGGTACTAGAAGCCACTACGCTGAACATAAAACGTGGCACACCATTAACTCTACTGTGATGCTTGATTATCCGTTATGGTTAAAATATTGGTTCCTCAGTCCAGGTTTCATTGCACAACTAGACTGATGGTGTTGTCAGATCTATAAGACGTCCGAATCGTAACCTCGGTGAAGATAATGACAATGTTTCAGCATGTAGCACTTTACGCCAGGTACTTGGATGTATCAGGAAGGTCAGATTCCTGAAAGCAACTTCAGAACGCCCGGAACCTACTGCTCCACCAAAAACTCAACTGGAAAGCCGNGCCAGTCAATCATTCGATCGATTCAGTAAAACCTGATGAATGTTCTCTGCGCCATAGAAGCCCGACCGAATGTGATCAGCGTTCAGGCTTATCACAGAGGCACGATCGATGCTGATGGGTGATCACTAGCGCCTATCAGACAGCCTGGATCAATGTCAGAAAGTCCCCTTTAAATAGCGTGGGGCCGTTGTAACTTTTGCACTCTCACTCACTCGCTTGTTCGGAATACAGCTGTTGTGTTCCCTTTTGTGAGTCTTTTCTCTCCGACACTAGGCACTGGAGCGGGTCAGCAGCAGATACCACAGATTGACGAATCAGCAGATATAACAGGATGACATTCTGATTTTAACAGAGTCCTTTAAAAATGCAAGCGATCCGTTCAACTAGCCGATAGACTTTCAACCTAGTGACATTTCTGTGTATCGGAATACATAGTTTTTCAGTCACAGAATGAGGCACACGTAGCCTTGCACTTCATAAGTTTTATGTCAATAAAATACAAAAATCTCTTACTCAAATGGTTATCAAAAGGCGTCCATAAGGTTGTATGGTTGTGAGACTTCGCCTATTCGAGCACCGGAACTGAGATGTCTTCAGGTGTTCGACAATCGTTGTCTCAGAACCATAGCTCGTGTGGGTTGGTGTAGGCGAATCCGTAATGAGGCAGCTGGAAAGCGCGTTTTCGGTTGTGCAACAGGTACTTCCATTGAAGAAGGTGTCAAGCACGAGAAGTTGCGTTGGTTGCGACGTGTTGCGTATGCCGAACCATCGTTTGTCGAAGAGAGTGCTGTTTTCCATGCCCAATTCAGAGTGAAGTAAACAGAGAGGTGGTCAACCCTTGACTTGGCAGAGGAGTATCAAGGAGATCACGAAATGCTTGGGTGCTGTCGGTGCTACTCGCCTTCCAGGATGGGGACCGCGTGATCCGCGCTGCGCTTGATTAGAGACACTACAAGATAGGGCTCCCAACCGATGTCAGTGGCGTTCTTGTAGTCAGTTTCTATACAGACCGCCTGAGTGAATGTCTGGAGGTGTAGGCACCTTGAAATGATTGTTGTAAGCTAGCACTAAGTCCCTCCCCCACCCACTTTTACTCTTTTCTTTACAATAAGGCATTCAAATAAATCATGCTTGCACGGCAGTGAAGCATGGTGTTGAACGCTGATGTCATGCTGTCGATGATGATGATAGGATGTGCTTTCACGTCCACCCTTCAGTGCCAACTAACTTGCTTTCTTCAGCACACGGCAAAGTCGGTTTACTTCCAATCGCATTAACATTTGCAATCCGTCAGACAAAGTGTGACCACCTCCTTCCACCGGATTCCCCGTCAATTTTGGCGCTTTGTCACCTACTAGTACGAAAAGATTGGACGTCCCTGACCAGGAATGACTGAACTTAGATGGGCACCAATGAAGATGCTTGAAGATGCTTCCCTCCGCGTCTGTGAACTTAGATGGGCACCAATGAAGATGCTCGAGGATGACTAACTTCCCTCGGCGTCTAACACAAGTCAAGGGATGTCTCCAACCATTGCGTCTGCTGTCGTCCTCCACCTTCCGGAAAACTGGCGTTGTTTCCGCATGCAATGAGTATTTTATATTGTGTTCTACATATCGAATGGTCCACTACCTCAGTGCGTTGGGGCCATTGTGAAGCACAAATCACAATCATGTGAACATATCTATGGAATTGTCCTGATCTGTGAGACATTCAGGTAGTGAATCTTTCAGTTTTTGCCAGCTAACTTTGTCTTATCTGACCCACATGCCTGGTGAACTATGAAGCAATGGATTCGGACCACTGTGTAACACTGAGCCGTTGTCAAAGCCAAGAGAACCATGCAAGATTCCAACAAACCCATCCTTCGTAAGAACCCCCGCTATGACTTTCAATCCTGTTTTCCCATGTCCCCGTCTAGGCATCCAGCAATATGGAAGAGGGAGAAATCCCGGACCGGTTCAGTCACCTGCTGGTCCTTACAGTTGAAGTAAGCATGGCCGTAGGACCTGGGACCATCCTATGCTGCGAAGTAGGCGATGCCTGAGGTAACGAGGACTTCCATAGAAAGAAACTGATGTAAAGGGAATACAAAGTCGTAAACATAAGGCCCATTCTGTGTCGCATGTAAATGCTATTCACTCCGGGCGGTTTTCCAACAAGATCTGTGATATAGACATTCCCAGAAGGACCACGGTAGTCGTTACCCCAACTAACTGCTGTCGTCCTCCACCTTCCGGAAAACTGGCATTGTTTCCGCATGCAGTGACTGGTGCATCCGTGCCCACTGTCTCCCTCGTGCTTCGTTTTGTTCCACATCGTCGCAGGTTAACAGCGCCTACCGTCGCATCAGCACCTACTTTTCTCCTTCGCTAGGGGGACAGTATCTGTAGAGGTCATCCACCATGATCACGCCTCACAAACACTCAAACCACGAGATAATTCCTTCCCCACTTGCAACCTTAGGCGACAACAAGTTTACGCGGCTACCACCCACCAGGTTTACGAACCTTAACCACATCAGACCAAGTTGTATTCATGTTCGTGCAAGCATCATACACGAAGGGACACCCCTCTCTTCACAGTGCACACAAGAAATAGGCATACAACTCGGCCCAACACACACACGCGCACAGGACAGTAAGTCAACCGAGCTCCACAATTCTACACGGATAACTACGGAACACGTGTAGCAGCGATACTGCAGAGAAGACACGTCCCGCGTCTGGACTATTACTCAGGAGCTCCCAACAAGTGTCCTCAAACGATTAGTCACTTTTGGCATTGTATCTATTTTCATCAAGTGCACCTAACCATTCATTCAGGTAAAACAGACAACAGGCAGTCGGTTCACTTTGGATAATTCGGTGGCACAAACTGAGTGAAACTGTTCTAATCTCAGAAACAAGAAGATGGGAAGAAACCTACAGGTCAATGCTGTCAAAACGCGGGAACAGAAAGCTCCTGCTTTAGAGTTGGGTTTTCTTGACCTGGAAGGAATCGGCCTTTGTCGTCTCCACTAAAACAGACTGAGTCATTGTGAAGTCGCTGCTAGAGAATTCGTTGACGCCAATCTCTCTTGTTTAACGAACCGTCAAGCTAACCAGTGA